TCTCAGCAGGGGCACAGAGCTTTAAGTGCGCTTGCCTGAAACACCATCAATACTTAATCAGTCCATTACTATTCAGTGCATATTTAATCCTTCGGCAGCTCTCTCTCACATCTCAGGCTAGGCGTTTCAAATCGGCCATGCCAATAAACCCGCCTACTTATTCATTAATGGGTTAACAACTGTCTGCTATCATTTCTGTAATTTTGCTCGGAGGAACAAGAACGCTCCATGTATTTTGAAACCTTCCACTCAGCCTTTGTCAGTCTCAGTCATTGTTAATGGCTTTTCTGTCCGAAGGTTTGGCTGTTTGTTTAATGAGACCAGTGGCACGGATTAAGTGGCTTAACCATTGCGACTATAAGCGAAAATACTTTTACTGCTTATATCGCTTGCTTTTTGTTACTCACACTCTTTCTAAATCTTCAGGTTCATTGTTTGCTTTGTTTCAGTGGCTTGTTACCCATACGCAAAGAAAATATATTTCCTAATATATGAATGATAACGGTATATTAGAAAATGTACAGAATAATATATTGTGTAAATATATAACAATATATTGAATAATACTTAAGGAATTGCCACTTTCATAAAAAATATATGTAATTTTATATTCAGTAATACACTTTATAATAAATAGATGTACATGTGATAAGATATGGTACTGCATGTGTATAAATATATTGAACATACAGTATATTTACTCATGCAATATATACACGCATATATGGAAATATATATTTCTTATGTTTAACATTTATTTATAATAAACATGTTTCATATTTTAAAATGCAGCTAGTTTACAATAGCATAAGGACACCTGCTTATACTAAGCACTTGGTAAACTATCACTGTGCTGAAAAGTGCACAGCCATTACTTTTTAAATAAAGTAACATATAGTCTTAATGGTGTTTGGCCAATCGTCATCCTAACCGCAGACTCTACTCTTCAGCACAATGGTAACCACACAAACTTTACACATACCAGAAACCCTTTTAAGTTTCAAAATACAACATTAAACACTAACAGATATCCCCCTATAATAATAGAGCAAAAAACACATGAAATAACACTTTTTACTCTCCTTTAACAGTCAGAATCAAAGCATGCTGGGAACTAGAAATCTGCTGTAACTCATTCTTAATATGAATATGTTTGTAAATGTTTGTACATACAAACCCGATTCCAAAAAAGTTGGGACACTGTACAAATTGTGAATAAAAACAGAATGCAATGATGTGGAAGTTTCAAATTTCAATATTTTATTCAGAATACAACATAGATGACATATCAAATGTTTAAACTGAGAAAATGTATAATTTTAAGGGAAAAATAAATTGATTTTAAATTTCATGGCATCAACACATCTCAAAAAAGTTGGGACAAGGCCATGTTTACCACTGTGTGGCATCCCCTCTTCTTTTTATAACAGTCTGCAAACGTCTGGGGACTGAGGAGACAAGTTGCTCAAGTTTAGGAATAGGAATGTTGTCCCATTCTTGTCTAATACAGGCTTCTAGTTGCTCAACTGTCTTAGGTCTTCTTTGTTGCATCTTCCTCTTTACGCATTTCAAAATGTCTCACTTTCAACATTTGATATGTTATCTATATTCTATTGTGAATAAAATATAAGTTTATGAGATTTGTAAATTATTCCATTCCTTTTTTACTCACAATTTGTACAGTGTCCCAACTTTTTTGGAATTGGGTTTGTACATTCACATTTATATGGGAACTTGTATGTGCAATATATACTCAATAAAGGATCAAACTTTATGAATATTAGATGTATTTTTGTCTTTATTTCTAAATATATTTGTATGTATCAATATATAGCCACACATTGTCCATGCATATATTAATGTATATTGAAAAATATAAGCACTAGTTTCCTATATATGGAAATGTATTATGTAATATATCACATTATATTTTGCAGTATATTCCCATATATTTTTGTTACGTAAGGGTAGTGCTGCTGTCAGCTATATTTTGTTGCATCCGGTCTCACTGTTTAATGGAATGAGGATGTTTATATCAGTTTTAGAGGTAAACCATTATGGATTTTTAATGGCCAAGACTGATATCTACAGAACAGGTCGATATAATGTCATAATATGATATAATGCACACATTAAATTTTTGGAATCAAATAAAAAATTAGTCACACTAAAAATTAGTCAAGGGGAGACAAATATCATCCAATTAGGTAATTGTGCACTGATCTAAATATGATCAAATATTGGCCTAAGCAATATCTATCTCAGTTTAACATATCGATGTAATTTAAACTTAAACTTGAAAATTTAGCACCCAAGGTGAGGTGTCGTGTAATTTATGTGCCACTAATGCCAATAAATGGAATTGCAAAAATAATATTTTCAAACAAAATTTACCCTGTCTGCTATTTGGTCAACTCACTACAGCAAACATGTGTTGAGCGACTGTTGGTGTATCAAGCTGGAGTGTGTTTCCTAAAGCATTGTTAGTCAACCATGGTTGCAGTCTTCCATCAGTAGCAACATAGTTAAACCATAGTTCCAACAAACATTCTCAAACAGCATTGCAAAGTTGTGTGGTCAGAACTACAGCTCTTAACCTGTGGTTAGAAGTAGTTTCTTGTTAGTATGACATGTAGCGCGCACACACACACACACATGATGCGCAAAACTCCGCATTTGAACAGTCAATAGCAAATACTTAAACTAACAACAAAACGGTAGCTGATTCAGAAGCGCCAGATTGTCATAGCAAAGTCAGAATTACCTCCTCTCCTAGGTTCACGAAACGGTCATCCATAAAATGCATTGCTGTTCTGTTGTAATCTTAAAGATTCCTAAATGCATTTACTTTTGGAAGGCGAAATAAAGTGCTTTTGCTTTCGCCTAGAAACACACAGCGTCTCCCTGACATGGCTGCTTCAGCACTAACTGCTGTTCCTGAAACCACGCCTTCTTTCTTTGCGTGTACATTTGGGCAGCATTATGCAAACATTTCCACATAGTGAGGTAGATATGTGGGGGCGTGTTAGAACGAGGCGTTTCAGGGGGGTGTGGCAGACTCTTTACGTAACAGAAGGGCTATCAAACTGTGATGTTGGATGACAAAATAACCTAAAGTTCATACCCTTAACGGTAGAGTACATAATGCAGGGGTTCTCAACTCTAGCGGTCAAAGTCCAGTTTCCTACCGAGTTAAGCTCCAACCTTGATCAAACTCACCTGCCTAACTTTCTAGTAAACCTCAAGACATTGAGTAGCTTGTTCAGGTGTGTTTGATTAGGGTTAGAGCTAAATTTAGCAGGAAAGTGAACCTCGAGGGCCAGAGTTGAGAACCCCTGAAATAATGCATAGTATTAAGTGCATAATGTATAGTGCATCATTTGGAATGCAAACTAGAGCGTTCATTCCATATACTGTATACAAATTTCATTCTACGTCTTTTAGTTGTCAAGAAAATGAAAGAAAAAAACCTGGCTTGAACGGCTGATTCAAAGTTACTGTGATTTCAGGAAACAGTTGGGACTAGCTAGTTAGTTTCTCCAATGATACATTGCACTATGTCAGTTATGCAGCAAGTTACATCATTGTATGGGGAAAGTACCTCTTCTCAAACAAACAGAACAATGTTTTGATAGCACTACAGAGCTGAAGTGTTTACAGTTTTCAGGGAAAATAACCTGTGAATGGCTTACTGTTTATCACCATTAAGCTTTTAATTTAAATATTATTTTATCCTCCAAACTTATTTTTGTTTCTTGACTCCTCTATAGTCTGTCACATATTCTGCTATTCTCTTCCTCCTTCTGGTAAATGGGTTAGGTGGAGGGTGAGCTCACCTGCCGATTAAGATGTGTTAAACAGAGCATATGCAATCATGTCTGTCTCTTGTCTGAGTCATGCATTTGTCATAGAGGTTTGACTTAATATCTTACTGCAGGAGAAGGTCCAGACCTTTGTTAAAGGTATAGTTCACCCAGAAATTAAAATTACCCCATGATTTACTCACCCTCCTAGGTGTAAATGAATTTCTTCTTTTAGACAAATCCAAAATTAGTTAAATAAATAATAAAGAATAAAAAATAAATGTAATTAAAATTAAATAAAGGCCTCCTGAAGCGAATCGATGCAAGAAAAATAAGAAAAATAATTGTAAGCAAAATATCAATATTTAAAACTTTATACTGTCATACGCTATGTAATCAATAGAACGTTGTTGAACGCTGGCGAATGACGTAGGTGTAGCGTAAGCTCCAGTGAAAATATGCTAATGTCGTGAGAGCAAAGGTTTTTTTTTACAGGTGCAAAGGAAACCAGTCTCCTCTTGGCTTATATCGAAATCCTCCAATATTTTTCTTTACAAATCCTCGTTTTGTACATCTAATTCGTGACCATTGTTTTGTTTGCTCTCTCTGTTCATCACTTCTCACCGGAGCTTACGCTATGCCTACGTTCTACGTCATCTGCTGAAACGGCTTTCTTTTGCAAACGCACGTATGACATGTACGTCTCTAGCGGAAGCTAGAGATTACTGTTTATAAAGTTTTAAATATGGACAAAAGCGCATCAATTAGATTCAGGCGGCCTTTATTCACCCCTGGAGCCGTGTGGGATAATTTTTATGATGGATGGATGTGCTTTATTGGACTTCTTTTGGACTATTGAAAAATAACATCCATTCACTGCCATTACAAAGCTTGGAAGAGCCAGGACATTTTTGAATATAACTCAGATTGGATTTGTCTGAAAGAAGAAAGTCACATACACCTAGGATGCCGTGAGGGTGAGAAAATCATTGGGTAATTTTCATTTTTGGGAGAACTGTCCCTTTAAGGGATTTTGAGTTTTCAGTCATATCTGTACATTTTCCTTGGCACTTAATGAATGCTATAGTTGGTCAGTTTGTCATTTATTAAACTATTTAGGTTCTCGAAAGTTTTTTATGGAGTTAGCTCTTCTACAATCTTTTATATAATTCTTTTTCACTCTGTTTTGGCAGTGGGACTCGATGAAAGATGACAGAGGAGGTGATTGTTATAGCCAAGTGGGACTACACAGCTCAGCAAGACCAGGAACTGGACATCCGGAAGAACGAACGCCTGTGGTTGCTGGATGATTCCAAGACCTGGTGGAGAGTCCGCAACGCATCCAACCACACCGGCTTCGTCCCCTCTAATTACGTGGAGCGCAAAAACAGTCTGAAGAAAACCTCTCTAGTGAAGAACCTGAAAGACACTCTCGGTAAGAAGTCTCACAGCTCAGTGGAACATTTCACCAATCCACAGTCCTGCCAAACTAGAAAAGTCATTTTAAGGCAAGTCGGTTCATGCAGCCATCTTGGCAACACCCTCAGGAAGTAGAATATCTACTGGGGAGAAAAATGAAATCTCCAGAACTTCCATAACATGTCATATCATCAAAATCTGATGATTGAAAGACTTGCTTTTTTTTTCGTTCAGTTTTGAATTTGATGACAGGCATTTTCATTGCCTCAGCATTTGCAAAGTAGACCAGTCAAATCTAAGGTTATAATTAAGATTGGTTGAGTCATTAGGTATATGGTGTTGTTTTGATCTAAATGTCATAGTGAAGAGCCTGCGCAGGTCTAGACCTCATACTCCTTCAGTAGATGACGTGTATGAAACGCCCTTGCAGTTGCCATGCCCTACTTCCCCCATACGCCTCCGGAGCTTCATCCCTTTAACGCTCAATCTGTCATCTCAAGGCACTAAGGGAGACTCTTGGGACTGTCGTTTTTTTGCAGCAAGTTGTGTATAAGCCAACAACACAAAACAAACACTGGGATTTAGGAAGCAGACGAGCCAGTGGAGTTCCTTTGATTGCATGTGTTATGCTTTATAAAAATGATTGAAATTAATGTTGAGATACTTTGATTGAAAATCACCTTGAGGGGCCCTCCTTCATTCATTCCAATGAAACATTTTAATGACACAATATCTACCACAACACCAAAAGCAAGTGAAGCATCTGAACACTCTCTTGCCTTAAGTTTTTGATGACTATGACATTGTTTTGTTAGGACAGGATTCCTGGGAATTATTTAACTGAAAATGGTCACTGTTTAAAAATGTATCTCATGTTTATAAGATTGGTGTGGCCCTAGGGGCAGACTCTGAAAGTCAGGCGCCCCCTGCTGTCCATTAGCAAGTCCCCCGATATCCTCATACCCATGCTCTGTTATCTGGAACACTATACAGTTTAGACCTCAAAATAAACTATTAAATATTAATACGCTTTACCTTTTGTTTGGAAGTAGTCAGAGATGCTTTATACCAGGACTGTCCAAACTCGTGTCCTGCAGAGTTTACCTCCAACCTTAATTAAACACACCTGAACCAGCTAATCAACCTCTTACTAGGCATAGAAACTTCCAGTCAGGTGTGTTGAGGCAAGTTGGAGCTAAACTCTGCAGGACACCGGCTCTCCAGGATCGAGTTTGGACAGACCTGCTTTATACATTTTATGTGGTCTCTTGCTAAACAGTTATTTAATATTTATTCTGTTATGTGCAGAATCATATTTGCCACAACTGGCAAGTATTTTCCACAAGTGCCAAGTTATCCATCAGTTCTCCCTTGGGCCGTCTCAAGACCTACATATGGGTGAGACACCACAGGTGTGAGGATTAATGGATTTCTAGCTCCAGTGCATCCCAATTTTTTGCCCTTCTCATGAAATGCCTGAGTTCTAGGCCAGAGCATTTCCATTTCCATGTGCTGCAGATGGATAAAAAAAATTGATGGGTACTGGTTGACAATGTAACTTGGAAAGTTTGGAAAGAGAATATGGAAAACTTAAAGGGGTCATATGATGCGATTTCAATTTTTCCTTTCTCTTTGGAGTGTTACAAGCTCTTGGTGCATAAAGAAGACCTGTAAAGTTGCAAAGAATAAAGTCTTCAAATCCAAAGAGATATTCTTTATAAAAGTTAAGAGTCAACCACGCCTACCTAAAACAGCTCGTTCTAACACGCCCCCACATGTCTACATCACGATGTTGGAAGATTTGCATAACGCCGCCCAAATGTTCACGCAAAGAAAGAAGGCGTAACTTTTATTCTCGCTGTAGTATTGTTGTTGCCGCCGCCGCCATGTCGTGAAGGCGCTGTGTGTTTCGTTGTGAAAGCGAAACAAAGGCCTTCCAAAAGAGGATGATATTCGCTTCGTCATGCCTGGAGCTGATCCGTGCTGGTCGCTGAGGAAATACAGGAACTTCGTGCTGTGGATCGCCGGATCGGCTTTCACCGTGGACGAAGCGGAGTCCAGCCCGGGGTCTTCACGTGGTTGCCGCAAGCCCGCCGGATGCTCCTTCGTCAAATCTGCAGGCCGCGCCGTTCTCAAGCCTGCCCGCCGCCAGTCACTCAAGCCGGCCGCCGTTTTCGTTGTTATAGCGAAACTATTTTGTTTGGCCTTCCAAAAGAGGACATGACTAGAAATCAGTGGTTAAGTTGTATTTACAACACTGTTCCAGAACACTTCAACCCAAATATTCAGATGTGTCCAGCGCATTTTATGCAGGACTGTTTCCTGATCCTGGGAGAGTAGACTATAATGCCAGCTGTTCTGACTCACAGACTGTAAGTTAGTTTTTTTTTTTATATATTTAAAGAATTTGCCACTGACGATTCAAACGCGAGTTTTGAGCAGTGTAGAGTAGCACTTATTGTTTGTCATTTCTCCGATCACAAATGCAGACATGGTTTTATGTTTAAAACAGTATAAGCCATTATACAAAAAGACAGTATAAGTCATTATAATCCGTAATTATGTCCCCACTGGATGCAACAAATACCTAGTTTATAATGGGTTTTAATGTTTTTGTCTCATTGCTCCGGCCTGACAGGGCATCACAGTATGGTAAGGGGCGTAACATTTCCGTCAAACGCTTGTTCGGCCAATCACAACGCAATAGATAGCTGGCCAATCAGAGCACACCTCGCTTTTCAGACCGATGAGCTTTGTAAAAATCGACACGTTTCAGAAAGGCGGGCATAGAGGAGAAACAATAAGGTACTGTATGTGGAAAATAATGTGTTGAACCTTAAACCGCATGAACACATTTCATTACACCAAATAAACTAAATAATGTTATTTTTAGCAACATCATATGACCCCTTTAAAAAGATCTTGCATTGTCAGGCCAGGATTTCATTGGATTCTTGTATATCATCCACACTCTGACCAATGTATATTTACATACTTTTAAATCAGTACAAATCACTAGTAGGCCTACATGAATGCATGCTTATCCCTGTCTATGCTTTTGTTCATCTCATATGTGATTACCATGAGTTAATGAGCTCTAAATAACATTTTATTTTGTTAATGAGCTCTGAATAACAGGAAGCAGTGGATCGATAATGCCTCCTAGGCTGTGGGGGGTAGAGACGCTGAGAAGTTTAATAGCTACTGAAGCTGTTAAATGCAATGCATTTTCGCCATGCAGGTCACTGAGACAACCTATGAAATTGGAGTAGGCCATCATTCCGCTTTCATGAAAACGGTGTTACATTTTACCTGCTTCCTTTCCATTGTTTTCTATTGTGTGAGTGAATGTGTGTGAATTCCAGGCAGGTTAACTGAAGAATTGTTAAAGCAGGTTAGACAAGTGTTGAAATGAGACTCCACATTCCGATTTAATCTGTCCATCCACAGCAAAGCCTTCAACTTTGGGATAATGAACAGTAGGATTGTATCAACATAATGAGGTTAACTTTTTTAATTTGTGAAATTATTTGGAGTTCTGGTTACATCAGTATTCCCAAATAATCTGTGGAACAAAGAAAACAGGGGATCATTTCCTTGTATACCAAGAGGAAGGTCATGAATATGCGGCAGTGACCTTCTAAGTTAATTCTGCATTGGGAATTAATTCCCACTGAGAGGCCACAGGGGACCTCTGATTGGTGGTTGTCACGGATACCTGCACTCAAACCCTCCCTCCATCCTGTTGAGCTCAAAACCTGTCACTCTTTAAAGATCAGAGGATCTTGCTAAAGATCTGTCAGCGTACTCTCTCTCTCTCTCACACACACACACACACACACACACACACACTCACTCTTCCTCTTGGCACCTCTGAGTTCCAGTACACGCACACACTTACTTGCATCTCACACGAGTTGTGCTGTGAATTGGCATTTCCTAATAAACCATTCCATCAGGAAAACAAAGATAAAGTGCAAAGAATGTGGCTCTGTGGTGTTAATAGCTGTTTATTTGGGTATCCCAACCAGACCAACATAGCAAAATTAGCTTGACTGAGAAGGTCTGTCCTTTTAATGGCAGTTACTCAGCTGATGTACATGGCTACTTTTGAATGGCTGTCAGTGGAAAAAGATGCTTTTGAAAAACCTATAATACCTATAGTACCTATAATGGTGTAGGTACAACATCAACAATAACATGAATTACTGGCATGACTATCTGTTTGTTCAACCAGTGGCAGATATTTTGAAACATAACTTTAGTTGGTTAAAGTGTGTCCCATTATTGACTTTTGCTTTGTCTGCTGTGGAGTCCATAAAAAGGATGTATCAAAGGTGCAAAGTGGCCTCAAACAGGCTCATGACTAGCTTTATGAATCATAAAATGACAAATGGGACACCCTATGGTCTCATGGATTTCAAATAGTAATAATTAATAATTCATTACAATTATATAACGCTTTTCTAGGCACTCAAAGCGCTTAAATAGTAAAGTTTAGCATTTGAGCAGCCAGCTGTGTTTACATTAAAACCACATTAAGACAGGGCATTTTGACCAAGAAATCCATTTTCATATGCATTAACCCACAGCTTGAACATTATTCACAGTGTGCACACACATACATATGATGGTTCAATAGCAAAACATTTTTCCTAACTTTAGGAAACTTTAGTAGTTTAGCACTACTTTTGACATAAATCTTATGATTTTTATTTTCCTATATTTATTTTAGCTTGTTCCTCTGACTGATACTGTTGGGGGTTCTGTCAACTTGTAAAATATCAGCACCTCAATCAATATGTGGACCTTGGGGTATATGAACGGTCTCCCTGTCTGAAAACATTCTGAATGTGCAACATTGTATTTCCCTAATAGGCAGAGGCAATGAATGGCAAATGGAGCCTGCAGCTTTACTGTGGGTTAAGTTCCAAGCTAATCATATAGATGGGGAGTTAATTGAATGAAGGGATATGTGGGTATTATTATGGTATGAAGCTTAATGGACAGCATGCATAATGGTAGGGGAGCGCCATTATTGCAGCTTTGATGGTTGGATGACTTTACCTGTTAACAAGTCAGTTTTATATTATACATAGGTAAACTGTAAGTGTAAAGGTTAAGGAGAAAGGGGTGATTGCTTTCCGGAAATGTGAGTTAATGGACGGTTATATTGCCAGCTTGTAAATGAAGGAGGGAAAAGAAGAATGAGAGCTTGTGGGTGTGCAGTTGTGCGAGTCCCTTTGTGCAATCGTGTATGAATATGCGTGTCTAGCTGTATTGGAATGAAAGTCTCAGAATGGTCATGCGGGAGTTTTCATTATTGTATTGCTTGTAGTAGTTTTTGGGTGCCATGTTGTGGTCACTTGAGATCAGCTTTGCAAATCTCCTCTGCTCAAGTCAACAGCTTCATCACTCTCTGGGACTTCTGAAAAGAGGCTTCACATTGTGTCATCTTAAAGACTACTTGTACATGCTTTTCATAGGTTTTTCTATCTTCATTCTCCTTTTTTTAAGCCTTCTCAGGCATTCCTCTCACGTATTTGTAACGTGCTTCTATTTCTAGATTTCCCAGAAGATCTTTGTTCTGTTTGTGTTGCAGTGTTCATTCCCTGTCAGCCCGAGCCTCAGAAGTACACACCACTCTCAGCCAACACAGTCTCAGATTTCCAGCATAGGGAAAAGGTTTCTGCTCCCTTTGAACTGGAAGATTGACTGTTAACTCTTTTTGTTTACAGTCCAGGTCACTCCCCCACCATAGAGTTTTGAGTGCTGTTACAACTCCAGACAGCAAGTCACTGTGTAGAGCACTGATGCTAATATTTTATATATATATATATATATATTAGGGATGCACGATATATCGGCCACCATATCGGTATCGGCCGATAAATGCTCATTTTTTCTGTTATCGGTATCGGCCTGATAGGAAAATTTGGCCGATATCTTAAAGCCGATAAATAATGCATTATTTCCTTCAGAGACACTTCAGATGCGCGCTGTTCATTTGCAGCCTTTTGTGCAATTGTACGTTGTAATATTGTGTTTATTTGATGTATATCTGATTTATCTCACATAGAATGCGTTTGGTTAAGTTAAATATATATATATATATATATATATATATATATACTGTGTATATATAATTTATGTTAATAACTTTATATCATGATAGATTATTGGAGTCACTTCCGGGTAGTCAGGTACTCAAGCCCATCCCTACCTTCCAGACTGCAAAGGGTCGATATCTTAGTTTGAAGTCAGGAATGGTTTCAGGTTAATTCTCACCTCAGAAAGCCTTTGGTAGAGGTATTTCCAGGTTAATATGCAATGTGGTGTGAGATTGACAATCCCTAGGGGAAGTACCTGTTAAGTGTACTTCAGTGGTCAAGGACCCAGGAGTTGATGACTGATGGAAAACGGTTTATTTTTTTGTCTTCGCACATATCTGTTTGAGCCCAAGAAAGTGGCTCGCGTGCAAGGGATGCTTGTGTGTGCAAGCATGCATGGATGCATGTGAGAAAGCTTTGCCATTCATTTGGTAGACTCCTAGAGAATTGTCACAGAGATCAAATGTTCTCTTGCATTCCCACAGCTCTGTTATTCTGTGCGTCATTACTTGCCAGACTGACTTCGCTTTCTCCTGTCACCTCACGTCAGATTGAGTTTCTTTTGAGCGCCTTCTCCTCGTCCTCCTCTTGCACCTTTTCCAGTCATCAGTATGAAATAGCTCCAGCATACTGCCCCTGTTGCCTGGGAGGCCCATTGTGCTTGAGTTGCTCATAGAGAACTGGGGTTTGGAGTCTGCGAGGAATTGCCAGGCCTCAGCTCGATTTCCACACCTCACTACACTTTCTGTGTACTCTGTTCGCAGTGACGGTACACAGAGTGTGAATATGCACACATAAAGCTTCTGATTGTGTGCTGTACGTGGCCACATGGGATCAGTACAGAAGGCAGGAACATTGGCAGTGGCAGATCTCCTCTGTTACCTGGGAACAAGTGAGAGGGCTTATTTTTGGCTGCCTGTCAAGACACTGTGATGCAAACCTACTTAGGATATGGCAGGGTACATGTCTGTTTCACTGGCATTTAGAGAATGAATGTGTTTACACGTACAATGAAATGCTGATAACTGTCAAAAATGAGCTCATTATAAAAACGCAACAAGATTTTGAAACCATAAGGTTTTTCTCATCAATACGTGCAGAAGACATGCACACATTGAATAAGCCACCAGAATGCTGGTGAAGGCTTACATGCAGAGCAAAATTGGAGTGATGGACAATGACATATGTGTACTGATCTGGTTTACCTAAAAGAGTTTTTGACTAGTTCCCTGGTTTTAGTTTTTTAAACTTATAAAGAATAATTTTTCTACTGGTGGTGGTAATTATATGTCTGTGTATTTATGAGACAGAAGTTTCTGCGCTCAAACCGTTGTCTGTTTCTTAGGTTACTTGTTCTTTTGTTAGATAACCAGATCAGAGTAATCCCATCTCTCTTTAAAGCTGAATTTGAAAGTCTTCCATCCTTAATCTCTCTTTTCTTCCACGGTTTCCAATGCACCCCTATAACTCAAGTGTTTACTTTCTTGGCCTCTAACACAGTCTGCTCTGTCAGATCATTAGCCTTGAGTAGATCAGCTTCTATATGCCCTGAAGTGGTGGCAATACATAGTAGGAGAAAATGTAATGCTTTAAGACATCAGGGAACATAAGGGAATTTAAAGCAGAAGTGTGTGATTTCTATGCCACTTGCATCACCAAAATTGTCCTCTTTGGCATTTGGCATTAAACCAATAAATGTAAAAAATAAATAACTAAAGCCTTCACGAAGGGTCATTCTGGTCACACTGTATGCTTGTTGCTGCATGTGCAATCAGCGAGTACATTCCAATGGAAAGGCATGTCATCTGTTTCTTGTCTGTGTATTATGTTGTGGTACCCAGTCTTTTTCTCTCCTCACATTCCTTTCAGACTACAAACTCACAGCTCTGTGAAAACTAATGTGTTGTGCCATGGCACTATGGATTTAATATTGAAAATGTATTCATAATATATTTTCCGATTTGGTGTGAGTATTTTGTGATTGTTATGCCTTTGCATTGGCAGAAGAATGGAGATGTTCAAGAAAAGTTAAATGAACAATTTCATAAATGTCAACGCTCAGTCGTAGAACATTGCGTTAGCAGCGCAAAAGGTTGTGGGTTCGATTCCCAGGGAACACACATACTGGTAAAAAATGTATAACCTGAATGCACTGTAAGTCACTTTGGATAAAAGCTTCTGCTAAATGCATTAAATTAAATTATTATTAATTGATTTAATGATTCATTGGTGTAATGATCTGTCACGACTCTGTTTTGACAGCTTTTTTCCAGATTTCTACTTCCTTACTTGTTTTGCGTCTCTCTGTTCCTCTTAGGCCTGGGAAAAACGAAAAGGAAGACTAGTGCTCGTGATCCATCTCCCACACCCAGCACAGAGGCAGAGTACCCATCCAATGGTAGCGCAGGAGGGGGTGGAGTGGGCGGGGCTGAGCGGATCTATGACCTGAACATTCCCGCACTGGTGAAGTTTTCTTACGCAGCTGAGCGTGAAGATGAACTCAACCTCATTAAAGGGGAAAGGGTGGCAGTCATGGAGAAGTGCAGCGATGGCTGGTGGAGGGGTAGCCATGCCGGCCGTGTCGGTTGGTTCCCATCCAATTACGTCCAAGAGGAGATGGGATACGCAGACCATGATGGGGTCTTTGGGGATTCGTTGGGGGGCTTCCGGTCCTTGAAGGTAGGGCAAGGGGCGGCGATGGCCAATGGCCGGCCGGGAAGCTCCGGGAGCTCCGTTCTGCATGTGGTCCAGACCCTGTACCCCTTCAGCTCAGTCACAGAAGAGGAACTGAACTTTGAGAAGGGTGAGACGATGGAAGTTTTGGAAAAGCCAGAGAATGACCCAGAGTGGTGGAGGTGTAAAAACAGTCGAGGCATGGTCGGTCTTGTGCCCAAGAACTATGTTGTAGTGCTCAGTGATGGGCCAATTGCGAAGGGCTTAGGGTCAAGTCATGGCTCTCCTCACATCAGTCACACAGTTCCGTCACGTACAGGCATATTTGCTGGAAAGGATTGGTACTATGGTAACGTGACACGGCACCAAGCTGAGTGTGCACTTAATGAGAGAGGAGGGGAAGGGGACTTTCTGATACGGGACAGTGAGTCATCGGTAAGCTGAACCGACTTCCCTCACATCTGCATGCCAAGCTACTTTATTGAGTTATGTAATGTACTGTAGGGCTGTCAAAGTGGCTGAAAAACTAAATTCAAATGTTTTATTATCAATATTCAAATTATATTCAAATTTAAAAGGCATAATTTCATTTAGGGGGGAAAAAGCTTTTGACTTCTCTCCCGAGGCCCCAAGAGGGCGCACCGAGCAAAATATTATGCACGTTTCTTCAAAGCATAATAAAATAACACGACTATCTTTGAAAAAAGTGCATAATGTTTACAATAATGTTTATAAACCTTATATAATTAATAAAGTTGCTTAAACAATTAGAAACAAAACAGCATCATGCATGTATGTATAGTTTAGTACAAAGAACCGAAAACCAATCACAAAGCGTATACTTTCTTCATTTAAAAACTTGAGATGCAGCGGGATGAGGAAAACCGCCATAAAGTCTTGAGACATGTTTTTTAAAAGTTGAACTTACATTACTTTTACATGGCTTTCTAAACATGCGGCTCTCTTGTGCGAGACACGAGTGCAACGGTGATAGATGTCCCTCTAGAAAATGCGATAAATATGCGTTCTGTGTGAACGGCTTGGTTTCGGTTTTGATGAAAACAATATCTTCCCCGCATTGATTGTTCTCTTTTTCTGCAATATTTTGAATGAACAACGTAGCAGCGCTGCATCCAGTGGGTTCAACTGGATAGGCTAACAAAAACATTAAAATGCAACGACACTTAGGCTACATTCTCATCGCATCTCATGCGCCACTAATAAGGCTGCCTGACGCACACCTAAAATTCAAATGCAACGTTTTTGCATTCGAATGTGGATTTTTATTTTAAATTCGACGAATATTCGAAATTCAGTTTACTTGCACAACCCACAGAGTGTACTGTGTGACAGAGACCAATTTGGACAGTGTTGAATAAACCATGAAACTTGCAAAACTTATTTGAATTGCAGTGAGAATGTGACTTCCCATAGTCCTGTTTAGAGGTGGGCGGTATGACCAAAACCTTACTTAGGTATTATCACATATTACATATATATGGTAATGCAATATATGTTTGGAACTTATTACAAATGGAAATTAATTCCAAAAATATTTAATATTGCATAAGCATTTTAATAATGTTGTCAAATACTTTATGAATGAAAGGTACTGAATTTCATTCTATTATTTTCTTTTAAACATTTTGTGGAGTTTTTAACTGGAACTTGATAAGTCATAACAAATAAATATGTTCCAAGTTAGTACATAGTGCTTGGAAACCATACATCTACACAAGATGTGTGTGGCACATAGCAATATGAAAAATTAAGCAATTTCAATTATACTTAACCAGGCAGTAAACTGTGCTTTTCTGCGACAATATTTGACATGTGTTTCTGAATAGTGTGGGGTTTTCCAAATGTTAATTTTTTTGTTGTTAACTTGTAATATGGCTATAAGGCCCCTATGAAGGATCATAGGAAGAAATCGATCAGAGATCTTAGAAGGATAAAACCTGGAAATCACAAATATTTTATTCTTTAATTCAATAAGGAAATCTTGGATCAAGTTTTACTGCCCAAAAAGGCTATGTCCTCTCAGCTGCTGTGTGACTTAGTGTCAGGCCTTATTTTTATTAAAATCAATGCTGCCATCTGGTGTTTAGATATGGAAAAGCAGTGGCAACAATGTCCCATCAATTTATCTCTCTGTCTTTTTTTTTTCCCAGCCCAGTGATTTCTCCATTTCTCTGAAGGCTGTGGGGAAGAACAAGCACTTCAAGGTGCAGCTGCAGGATGGAGTGTACTGCATCGGTCAGCGGCGTTTTAGCAGTATTGATGAGCTTGTAGAGCACTACAAGAAAGCACCCATCTTCACCAGTGAACAAGGAGACAAACTCTATCTTGTCAAGCCCTTTGACTGAATTTGTCGCTTTTCAACAGACGTTACCTCTCCCTCTGTGCACCTCAGTTTCCTTCTTTTTTCTCTTCCTGCACACTCATCTGACTTTACTAAATTCTTGAATGAGGGGAAAAAGCTCCTTTCAGAAGCAACTTCAAGGACTATTTGACATTTCAGAGCCCAACATTGCCTCCACTCCTGTAGGGAGCAATAGCAATTTGTCATTCTTTTAAACAGAGATATCCGTTCTTGATATCCGTCCCCCCCCCTCTTTTTTTTTTTTTAATGATTTACAGTTTTGGAGGTTTTGGTAAAGAAAAACAGAATGGCATTTCACTGAGCAACATCTGTAGAACTCTCTCCCAGCCTTTGGGCAGCTGTTCTTCTGCTCTTCCTGTTGCTGGTTAATCCACAACCTCAACCCACATTATATTGGTTTACATTTCTCTGCCCAAAACAGCATTACAGTATGTACATTTGTAGCTCTTGTACTGAATTAGCAGAGAATAATAGATTAATATGCATGTCTTAACCTTGATCCTTCAGAGCAGGCGAGCATGTGAAGAATGAGGAGTGTGATTTGGTTCCCAACAGATGGTATGTCTCCATTCTCCATTCGTAGAGCTCATCCGAAGGCCATGCAACTTCTCTATGTATGTTCACACTGCAGCTGTCTATCGCATTACACTGTCTGAATCTGAATCCAAACTAATTGCTGAGATGACAGTCAGATTTCACCCTGAAGTAAAGCAGTACTCTCCCATCCTCTGAGCCTTTACAGACACTGTTTTTGCATTTACAGTCCCATCCTGCATACATGAAGGCTGTGTTTGGACTTCTCTGCTCCTACAATGCGAACATGCACAGCTTTCCAGGTATTTTTCTTGGATCCGAGTCACTTCAGGGTTTCTTCAGAATCAGGGTACTTCATTAAGGGAGATAAATGCAGTAATGACAGGAGTTAAAAGAGATGGGGGTAAAGAGAGAGATTGTAGCTTCTAAGAGAGTAGTTTCTGTAGACAAGGAGAGAGTTTGAATGTGTGTCCTTTCAACCAAATGTGCCACCCACTTCCAGTTCTGCTACTATTGATGTCTTATTGCACCTCACCAACACGTCTTCTCTGCTCTCAGTAACACATAGTTGATTGTGAACACTAATTCAAGAGTAATAAACAAAAATATGATTTTATTTCTTTACTTTTGTCAATTACTCTTAAGTCTGTTTACCAATAAGCGTGTTGGTCAAGGAGGTTTTTTTTCTTTTTGTCTGAATGTTTTTGAGCAATGTTATTTAATTCCTCTTTCCACTGTATGTGCATATATATATATATATATATATATATATATATATATAAAGATATGGTGCATATATGAATCGTTTAGATCCAGCATTATGGTACTGTATTGAGGACAGTGTGGTGAGAATTGAAATACTTTTGTTCAATAAAAGTTTTGCAAAATAACTTAAAAGGAATTTAAGTACAAGTGGTTGCTGTCTTTGATCATTTTTCATCAATTCTGATTTCTGTTGTGAATTCAATACATGTATCAGTTCATCACAATACCTGCCAATTGACATTTTGAAACAAGTCATAATTTTTTACAAAATATACTTGCAATGTGTTTAGTTCACCAGTGGATGTCACTATCAGACAGCTTTAGAGTTAAACAGAAAATAACCTTTCCAAACTTTTTAACTTTTCAGCCAGTTCAACCCTTTTTATTCTATTGTCAGGGATAGATGAAGTCATGCCAAGCGCCATCTTCTTATCTAAACATAGTTATAGCATCCATTATCATATTACTTAACTGTAATAAGCAAATGCAACTTTTGCAGTATTTATTCACAGTTAATTTCACTTTTTGTGTTAGAAATATTGAGATGTTTGAATTATTATCGTAACAATGGCTGCTGCTTATCAAATCTAGTGACGTAATGCAGGTGGTCCTGTGCTGTAACTTATTGTGATGGTGGATGGTTTTTTACCTTTGAACTGTTCAGTAATGCAGTCTTTGATGTGGTCTTTAACGATGCAAATGCAGAAAATCTATCTTCTCTTTACGATTACCATCTATTACCAAGTTTGTTTGTTTTTTTGCGAGTGGCCGTCTCCTTAGCATCATCGATAGTCATTTGGCACCAATTGTGAGAATAATCAGAGCTATTGATGTCAGATGTCACGTTTGCAAATGCGAGATGACTGCACCACCAAGCTTGAATGCTGTCAATCCTAATTGTATTTCTTATTTTATTTGAAAATGAAATTCTTAGGTGTTTTATTTCATCTCATATATATATATATAAAAAAAATTAACTTAAATGATTTTAGCAAATGGCTGCAATATAACAAAGAGTGAAAAATTTAAGGGGGTCTGAATACTTTCCGTACCCACTGTATATATATAGGGTGAATTCGGGTAATTTTGTCTTCTGCGATTTATTTCGATATCTATCTAACACTTTAGATCAACACATTAGACTTTTCTGAAATCCCCAAGATGTTTTCTAACCACACTAGAAGAAAGAATGTTGATATTATACCCAGAGGAGACATGCCACACCTATTAGTGTTTTTTGTGGCAAAAAAAATAAATTCTGCCTGAATTTGATAATCTGGGACATATGTATTAGGCCTAAAAAAAGCCTATATTCACCATACTTTATGCATGCCAAACACAATATCACCAATTTTTAAAAAGCATTATGAAAAAATGACAAGTACAGAAATCTCAATAAGGAAATGTCTATTTCAACTGAGGAAAACTACTATCAGGAAAAATAATTTCTTTCTGTACACAGGATGAACAGTCTACTGTGTTAATTCATTTTAATTAATATTGTATTAACATTTTAAAGAATCAACAAAAATTTAAACAACAGCAAGCAAGAATTTGATTAATGGATTATTCAGTCAGTTATTCAAGTTCTCCATTCTATTCAAATTTGGGCTACTTGGGGAACAAACACTCCGTGTGTGTGTGTGTGTGTGTGTGTGTGTGTGTGTGTGTGCGTGTGTCTGTGTACAGAACATTGTCAACTGGCCTGGGCGCAGATCCCCCTCCTGCTCAGTGATTTGAACCATTGTTTATACTAAACTAACTGGAAATTTGGGAAATGAAATTAACTGTTTACTTCATCCTGAGAGCTTTGCTTGCTACTGGAATACGTTTCCCAGATTCCATCTCTGTAGCATCTCTCTCTAGCTAGCTGGTTTAGCTAGCTGCTAGCTGTGAACTTATGCTAATGTTAAAACCTCCAGTAGTCCACATTAAAGGGTTAGTTGCATTGCTTCAGTCCAAAAGAAATTAAATAAAAAGCACCCATCCATTAAAAAAAAGTGTCTCACACGTCTCCGGGGGGCGAACAAAGGCCTCCTGTAGCGAATCGATGCATTTTTGTAAAACAAAAAATATCCATATTCAAAACGTAATAATCACTTTAATGTAGCTTTTTATTTCACTTCTTTTGGACTGAAGCAATGCAACACCCGCTGAGTACAACGATAGAGCTTGACAATTTTTTATATAACTCCGACTGGATTCGTCTGAAAGAAGAAAGTCATATACACCTAGGATGCCTCGGGGGTGAGTAAAACACAGTCTAATTTTCATTTTTGGGTGAACTAACCCTTTAACACCCATTTCTCATTATAGCATATATTATCCCTTGTCATTAGACTTATAAAGTCCCTAAATACATATTTCCTCCATTTGAAAACTGTCCCAGATTACCCAAAGCATGCTGTCCCACGTTCTCAATCATATTTGATAATGTGGGACAACAAAAAAATGTTTGAAAGAAAAAAAACTAAAACACATTTTCAACACTTTAATACATATTTTGTTGCTTGAATAGATCACAAACATAATTTGACAACAATTAGGAACATTGCATTATTTATGACAGATTTATGTCCTTAACATTAATCTAGTCAGAATCCTATGTCACTGACCTTGTCATGCAATTCCCAGGGGAGCTGCTTGATTGACAAGTGCCCCGCCCCTTTCTGTGGAATCACCCCAATGAAGTCATGTGATTTCAATCACATGACATCTATGCTAAAATTATAGTAAAAGTCCTGTTGACTAAATTTTGTTAGAACAGGAAATAAACACACTGGATCTTAGGTGTCCCAGATTACCCAAATTCACCCTATATATATATATATATATTACAGTTCCCCATTTACCGCTTTTCGTGACATAGGCAAAAAAAAATGTAGGGCCCCCCTTCCCTATTAAAATAATAGGCCTAATATTACCACCCAAGCAAACAAAAATATTTCTTAATCAGTGGAAACCGTTACAGTGTTTTCTATCGCAATAAGCGCTTGCATTCAGTCAATAAAAATCGAATAGTTACTTCATTTGTAACGGCCTGGAGTCACAATCACTCATCAATTGTTCAGATGATTTGTTTCAAGACATTTGACATGTTTCCGTCCTGAAATCTCGTGGGTGTTGAACTAGCTAATTTTTTACGCACCTCATCCCAAACCTTCCGTTGAGACACGCTGGCTTTAAAATTGTGGATATTATTATCATGAATGATTATATACATATTAAATTACACAAATTAAACCAATAAAGATATACAATTATGCTGTAAGGGACAATGTGTTCAGTGGTTGTAATGTTTGTACTGAAACAAAACACCGATACAAAAAAAAAACAAAAAACTTTTCAGTAGACAAAAACTCCATAAAAGAGATTTAAAGCAAGTTGTTAGTTACACGTAATCTAGGACCAGTGCATTTCATCCTTTATATAGGCCTATTCATCAACGTAAAATTCAATACGCTATCAACTCTAAAGTCTATTTTATTTTCAGTTGAATCATGTGCTTCTTTATAACAACAATGCAAATGTGTCAATCTTAAAATGATCGGTTTAATACCCGTATAATTGGTCATCAGCATTTATTCACAACATTTATGAGATATTTATTATGCCTTAGTCATTTTACTACATTCAGTGATTTTGGAAAGCAAGATGATGGCATTTAGCCTAGCTATTGTGAATGCACATTCTGACCAAGAATGATAACTAACAATAACTATAACCGTAAGGTTTTAAAAATCATGTCTAAATGTCTAACGTCAACAGACCACACCACAAATCAATCGTCAAAGTGGAAAGATATTGTTGGAATCACTTTCACAACAATTTTTCCTAGCTAATGGACAATAAAAACACTGACAGCCAATCAAAATCCTGCCTGCTTTGACAATGTATTTGTTATGGTTGTCATTTTTTGGTGTGAACAGGCCTTAATACAAGAAACCAGTGGCATGCACAGACCTGAGGAGGGGGAGAAATGGGGATTGGTGTCCCCCTCGGTACAAATTGTGGTCCAGGGGGCACCTAGATCGGACTAAAAGGGCTCTTTAGCAATTAAAGGGGCAGGGGCATGAGAACAAACAGCTACTGATTACCACTTCGCCTGGTTGCCACTTTCTTTTGGATGCCATGAATTTGGCATAGCACCTACAGGACAAAAGACATCCTGTAAAGAACAAAACAAGTTTGTGCAATAAAACAGGAACTTTTGTTCTTTTGTGTTCTTTTGAGTTTGAATCAACCTTGGGTTCTCTTCAAGGCTGGATCACCATATAAAAATAAAAAACAACTTTCCACAATCCTCATTCACAATGCACTGTTTGTATAGATGTGTGATTGGCGGAGTGTTCTGTGATGCTATTATCATAATTGAATAGTTTTTGCAATAATTCTCTCCCATGATCTGTTCAGCACACAGGGTTACGTGATGTCTCATATTCGTGTGTTTGTGCTTCTCTGCACCTTCCTGCTGATTAGTTTCTGTGAAGCAGGTAAGATCTCAGTTCTCCCGTCTGCTGATGTGATTAACTGTTCTTAAGTATTTATTGTATTGCTGCTTATTTAGCCTGTGTGCTGGTCTGTTTCAGCTTTAGGCAGATCCATTAACACCACTGGACTAAACAGTCCAAACATTTGGCAAGCAAGTCTGGTTCAGTAGCATTATAGGCGCTAATTACACAGGCTTTTTGCCAATATAGATTTTAAAACTAACTGTGGAACAGATTGAATGTTATGTAAGAATGCTATATCAGTCATAGCAGCATATACTTCACTGCGTTGAAATTCTCTGTCCCATTATCTTCCGTCAGATGAATGATATTCCTGTGGAATTACTGGATTTGCTTGCCAATGGTCTTAAATATTTGAGATTCTTTCACAGATGAGAAATGCCTCTTCTCATTTTGTGTGTTTTAGAGCTAATAAAAGACGTTAAATATGTAAGGGTTTATTTAAGTTTCTTCAGTTATTGGACGTTTTGGCCCTGTGGACTTTAAGTAAATAAATAAATCATTATTTGGATTGAAAGCATTTGTTGTGGTTGAAATGAAACCAATGCGTTATTTGTGTAAAATTTTAATGAATAATTTTCATGCAACAAATAATGAAATGGTTTATTTCACTCTGTTTAAATTAGCATGTTTTTTTAACAATGCAAAATGATGAACTAACTTAGTGCAGACTGAATGTCTGAGACTTGAGACATTTTTTTAAAAATTTAAAAAATAAACACAAAAGTGCCCGTCTTTGAAGAAATACCCTTATTCCACTTTAGATGGTTTATCATTTTAAAGATGAAATACACTTTGCCTAGATTTTTGCCCCAATTTGCAGATTGCACAAGTTAATGCTAGTTGCTGACAGTCAGAGGCAGTCTACAGAATTGAGAAAATAGTGTAGTGTATGGATGTACACACTAAAAAATGCTGGGTTGTTTCAACCCAACTTTGGGTTAAAATTTGAATGTAAAAATTTAACCCAACAGTTGGGTTAGTCTATATTTGACCCAAAGTTGGGTTGAAACAACCCAGCATTTTTTAGAGTGTAGACTCAGAATTGAGAAAATAGTGTAGTGTACAGATGGTCTCCGTGATTTTGCCAAGTAAGACATGTTCCTGGATCAGCATCTTTTGTTGATCCTGGATCAACATTACTGTCCAAAAATACAGACTTAACCCAATCCCCACCCCTACACCTAACCTTTCCCATAATTTATTCCTAAAATCAGAAACCTAACCCTACCCATAATTTATTCCTAAAATCAGAGGGAAATGATAGCTGATTAACAAGGGTGTTGAAGCACCTAACCCTGATTGTAAGCTTAAAACTGACATTTCCTGAAAAGTTATCCCTCAATTCTGATTGGTTGATAGGAATGATGTTCCAGGATCAACAAGGATGTTGATCCAGGGACATGCTGTACTTGGTGAAATCACACTCACCATATTTTATTATATTTTTTTTTAGCTTCAGACAGCACCATAGTCGTCAGAGATCAAATATGTTTGATATTTTGTGTTTAGAACAACTTGAACATCTGGTAGTGTGTGATCCTCAGTCATTTAGTATATGATGCCCAGTTTCTTTTACAAAGTCTGCAAGTTTATACACTAAAAAATGCTGGGTTAAATACAACCCAGTGCTGGGTAAAACAGGGACAAACCCAGCAATTGGGTTGTTTTGACCCAACGGTTGGGTTACTACCCAGAAGGTTGGGTTAAACATTTAACCCAACCACTGGGTTTGTCCCGGTTTTACCCAGCACTGGGTTGTATTTAACCCAGCATTGTTTAGAGTATAATATTAGCCTAGTGTTTTAAAATTAGCTCAGATTTTAAAAGTAGTGAAATGTATTCCATCTTTTAGGTGTTTCTTTGTCTGTAAGGTGTTCCAGCTCACAAGGAGATCAGGGCGAAAAGGAGTCTGCCATACTGGAACCTCTGGTCCTCTGATTTCTACGGCTGGGTGGATGAGTTGCGATCTCAAAGCGGATATGACACACTGCTGGACTTGGCGAGAAACTATTGGGCTCACTTTCCCATTGCTAGTTTTCTAGATTATGGAAGCACCCCAGGGCAAAATGACCATCATCCAGAGCTGGAAGTTGAAGACTTAAAATAACATGGCAAAGTCTTTCCCAACGGGCTTCCGCTGTATACAGTTTTCCCCTCCATTAGCTGCCCGGGTTATGACTATTACAGTACATGTCTTTTTGGAACATCATCTTCCCCCAATCTGTGAATCATTTTTACAGATCTTTCTCTCGCTCATTCTTTTATTCTTGCACATTAACTGTCTGCGCAAATTATCCATGTGATTCAAAGATGTTTATTGTTAGTACAACATTAAGCACATTTTGTTAATCAATGAGTTGAAATGCAAGTACAGCAATAAATGCACTTTGCCAAAAACATTTGGATTTATTTAAACAGAGTTCAGGAGCTCAAGCTGTTTCATAATCAAATTATTAATGTATTATGATGATTTTTAGATTTATAGAAGAACACAATAAGCTTCTCCCAAACAGCTATTCATGCAAATGAGGAAATGAGTCTGGTCGATGTCACATTGAGATATATATATATTTTTCAAGCTAATTGCAGTTGCAAATTTCATCAAAAATCAGTCACCTACAAATTACAATACATTATACCGACTTCAAACATGCTTGTTTAAAATAACAATTTTCTACTTATTTTTATATTTTTAAGTTTTCAGATAACTGAAACTTACTGGGATAAGTTTGTCCACCAAAATATAATCATAACTATGTCTCAAGGAAGTACTGAAAGATAATACTAATAGGTTTAAAATGTCAAATACACAGCACTTAAGGCAAAAGGGACTAAGACTTCTTTAGATGAACTGCCATTACTGCTGAGATACCAAATTGTCTTCTCACAAGCCTGAAGTCTGAGACTGTGATTTACTCCCATGCTGAGGGAAGAGCTCAGTTGTGGAGGAGTTAAAGGGGTCATATGATGCGATTTCAAGTTTTCCTTTCTCTTTGGAGTGTTACAAGCTGTTCGTGAATAGATAAGATCCCTAAAGTTGCAAAGACTAAAGTCTCAAATCCAAAGAGATATTCTTTAAAAAAGTTAAGACTTGTCCACGCCCCCCTAAAACGCCTCGTTTAAACACGCCCCCACATGTCTGCGTCACTATGTGGGAAGATTTGCATCATGCCACCCAAATGTTCACGCAAATAAAGAAGACAACACTATGGGGCTTCGCCAGTTAAATGGTTGAAAATAACTTCCAAATATCTGTCCACTGTAGTGGATGCAATGCATGATGGGGTTAAATTTATAAAGCAGTCTGGGACATGAATCCTGACATCCCTCTGCTGTTACTCCTGCTCATGTAAGATGATATAATCCTGTAGTCAGAAAAAGGCTCTAACAAGCCAGGCTTAGGTCTCCTGGAATACCTGAGACACAGCTAACAACCAACAAATTGGTAGAGCAGCAAATTAGTGTGTGCTCACAATTCTCCTAACCTCACCCTCAGGGCCTGTAAACTTCGCCTCCTGACCACTAATTGCCATTGCCTGTTTCCAAGCTGTGTGTCCCGTGGGATCGGCTTGATGAGAAGGATCCAACTTCACCTCCACAGTCTGAAACGAAGAGCTCCAACAACTCCAGAGGGCGTTCAGTCCAAACAAATCCAATACACTCATCTGATTTATACACATCAGTCTGCATGAGCTAATGCAAAAATAATCTCTTTTTGGAATCTGTACACGACTAATATTTTGATTCATTATGTACACACTGTAAAATGTTTATAATACAAAGATTACACAGCTCTGCCTATTGAGAAAAAAATAGTCAAGTGTTTAGAGTTTGTTTTATTGACAAAAAGAGGTATTCAAAATGTATCATTTTTTTAAACTTACAATCTGCAAAGGAGTGAATAAATATGTCCAAATACTCCATTTACTCTCAAAGAACTTTACATAAACACAAGTTTATGAGCTTCTTCACAAAATCTGTAATTTTCTGTCATTGCTTAAAGCCAAACAGTTCCTGGCCTCCCTTAAAAGACCCAAAAGGAACCTGTGGGACCGCAGCCGTCCTGACGTTCAGCAGTGGATCCAGCAGTTCATGTACATGGGCTTTGATGAAGCGGTGAGTGCTTGTTTTCATTTCTTAAACATACCATAAAACAGTTTCATCTTTTACAGTCTTTATATCACACTAACGTGAGTTTGAAAATTGTGCCACAGTTTTATACTTTATAACTGTATTTAAGAAGCCTACAGTTTTTTGGAAATTTCTACCCTAGTATAAATCTTTTTTGTTGACTTTGACTTTTATTTCACTACATTTTTAAGGAGAAAACTGATACTTTTACTCGTCTTTTCCCCAGACCATTTACTTACATTTGTGAGTATTCGCAAATGAATCTTTATCAGTTTGGTTCCTTTGAATCTGTTAAAAAGCTTCTAAATGATTTCGAGAAGTGCATAAGAAGCCAGGTGCAATTGTGTGCCTGCCTTCAGCCGGTAAATCATCTTATCTGACCAGATTTGCTGTTCCACGTGATGAATTTTCACTTGACCGTCGGTGTAGAAAAAGGCCTTAATAAAGTGCGAGTGTCCTGGTCACTTTCTCACTTACCCAATCAATATAGTACTACTGCAGTTAAAAGACAATCAGTCAGTCAGAGCTCGTTACTTGGTTTCACCTGCACACTCGCACCATTTTTTTTAGCTTAATTTAATATTTGGGGTTGAGGGTTAGAGTTGGGGTGGCTTAGAGTCAAGGACCCCCGGAGGACCTCGTGAAGCTGGAAGTAGGGCAAAGCCTGCCAGTAAGGTTGGTGGGTGAGAAGCAGGAGGAGCCCTAGATTGTAACCAACATTTTATTTTATTGCTGTTTCCAAAATAGACTTACCAACACTCATCACATACAACAAAGCACTAAAAAAAGCACCATCATTCCTCATAGGGACCTAAAAAATGTCCCCACAAGTATAGTAATACCAGTCAATTTTGTCATTGTGGGGACATTTTTTTTAGGTCCCTGTGCGGAAACTATGTTTTTGAAAATCTAAAAATGCAGAAAGTTTTGTGTGAGAGGTAGGTTTAGGGTAAGGGGATAGAAAATACAGCTGGGGAGTATAAAATGCATTACGTCTATGGAATGTCCCCATAAAACACGGAAACCTGTGTGTGTGTACAATCTGTGATATAACTCTCGCATGTCCTAACATAGACTCCAGCAACCCACCACTTACAGGCGGCCATTAATACAGTCAGTTACAATCAGTACCTGTTTATACAATCTACTTGTTTTTTGACACGCAAGTAAATTTAATATCAGTTACTGGAATACTTATTTTTCCATAAAGATAAGGTCTCTGTATATTTCACTTCTTTATCACCTGCATGTTTTATGATGTTTGTGAAAACTGCTGTCAGTAAATGCAAGGCTTTGTTTTTCCAGCCTGCATTTTGAGGGTTTGATGTTGTGTGCTTTGCAAGCAGTACACAACAATAAAGGACGGTATTCCTTTGTTCCTTTTCTTGGTTCACTTAATTCTTTAGGTTACAATTTCTGCAGTTTCCTAAATATTAAATGCACAATACATAAGGAATACTGAGCAAATAACCAGTCATTATTGTAAAATAAACACTAACAAAGAGATCAGTTGGACTCCCCAATGTGAAACGTCCAACCCCATTAAAAGGTTTCGTACCCAATAAATAAACAGATAATGGCCATGAAAAATTGATTTGTGTGTAAATGATCTTTTAGAAACTGTGAAAACTGTAAAGGAAGTAAAAATTATATTCATTTTCTCCATAGTGAAACTGATTTTTAACAGTAACTTATAAAGTTTTAAAAACGGATCCCTTGTGAGCTCTGAAGTTGTTAATTGTATGCTTTTGTTGAAGCATTGGCATCAGTTCGTATGATTTCAATATATTTTTAAAGTACTATTATATAACAGTGGAATATGCAGTAAAAAAAAAAAAAACTACTCATGATGCTATACAGAAAAATTGTAAGCAAATTGTGCCTCTCCCATGAAGCACCATATAATCAAAACGCTCCCTATGAACTCAAAATAATTCAATATTTGTCTGTCTATATGCATATTTTGTAATAAACTAAAATATTGTTTCTACAGATACAATCAACACTTTTTAAATAGTTTTACCTTTCATGTGATTTTCCCTCACTAAATCTGTTAACACTGTACCTTTGTCTGATTGCCAAATACTATTTTTGCTTCAAGTTTGTAATGTTGTGATTCATCTCGGCTGGTTGGTTTGGTTCATGACTTTTCTAGAATCTCTGTGGGGAAAAATACTTGCAGAATCAACAGAGCTGAAGAAGTTGCACTGATGCACTCTATTTAGTTCAATCAAATCCACAGGATTGCCCTGTTACATATACAATCAATGTAAGCGGCCAAAGTTCAGCTTTAAAAAAAAAAAACGTATGTACATTTAAATAATTTTGTGAATTCAGTTGTGACCGCTCAACTTATTTTTCTGTCTTTAAGGGATTGACGGTATTTCATTTTCAGATCGAAAACATAACGTTGCTGCAAAAACAGCGTTAATACATCTATACTAATGGTCCTTCATCATAATTCACAAGAGCATAATTACATCAGAGCAAAAAAAAAAAGAAGCATTGTATATCTGTGATGACACATCTTAAAAAGTACATTGATTAAACAGTAAATTATATAATAGTGGGTGTTCCGTGCATTTCAATGACTTTGAATCATGTACACACACAAAAAAAACCATTTTATGTGACATCTTGTTTCAAATTTTTAGGATTTATCTTTTCGCTTGAACCTTTTTCTTCAGAGGCTCGAAACGGATCTGGCCTACTGGATGGACCACTACCAATCCAGTGACTCTCCCATGGGGCCTCGCAGCGCTGCCTCATACAGGCACGGAGCAAATGTCATCTATGACTACTACTAAAACACCAAGAATATGTTTCTAAGATTTACCACACAGTGATGTCAGCGTGCTGCTTTCGTCTGTAGCTTGTGCTTGCTCTTGTAAATGGAAATAAGAGAAAATCAAGAAAAAAAAGTCGATTTTAATAGTGCACCCGAAATGAAGATTCTATCATCATTCACTTGAAAATGACAAAAATGTCCCAGCAAAATATCATACAAGTAGCCTATATAGCAGGTTCCCAGGACTTGAGAACCACTGCTATATACCATACGATCACTTTGTGTGAGAAGGCTGAAATTGAGGTCATTTAATCGTGTCAAATCATTTTTTGAGTTTGACAGTCCTAGTCTTTATACACTTTCATTATAAGGAAGAGAAGATAATGATATTCTTCAAAAAAAAGTGTCTAATGGATTTGGAACATTATGATGAGTAAATGACAGAACTGGAAACAGTTCAAATAAAAACCACAGAACCTAACTGCTTTTTGTTTGTTTGTTTTAAACACATGCATACTTTTATTCAGCAAGGACGCATTAAATTGATCAAAAGTGACATTTATAATCTTACAAAAGATTTCCAATTCAAATAAACCCTGATTTTGAACTTTCTAGTCATAAAATTCACAAAACATTTGATAAGATATTGAGCAGCAAATCAACATAGAATGATTTCTGAATGACCATGAGACACTGAAGACTGGAGTAATGATGCTGAACATTCAGCTTGGCCATTTCAGGAATAAATTACATTTTAAATTTCAAATAGAAAACGGTTATTTTAAATTGTATTGATATTTCACAATAGTACTGTTTTTACTTTATTCGTGATCAAATAAATTCAGCCTTGATCGACCAAAAGAGAATTCTGACAAAACATTAAAAAAAAACAAATTCTGTAGTGAAGGGAGATAACAGAGAGAGATGGATTTATGAATGGAAATGCAGCAGAGAACAGATAAAAGCAATAAAATGAGAAAAAAAGCGATCAGTAATTAGGCAGAAGAACAGAGAAAGTGAGGTTGAAAATAGAATACAGTGAAAATCACAGTAAATATTTTATTAAAATATTTTCACCTGAAATTAAATATAGGTTCAAAGTTCTGTATGATGTTTCACAAAGGTAACAACAGATTTAGCTCAAAATCATCACAAAGATTAAAGCAGAAAGAACATTTGCCAAAGCTTTTCTTCTATCCGTCTCCTCAGATTTCTTGACAGAGCTGGATGAGGTTTCCTGCTCCAGACCAGACATTCAAGATCTTTAAATAGTTTGCAACTGCTAATCTTCATAATTTTCAACAGGTGTCCATTCAACAAACACACCGCTAGCTTTGACAATGATAAAAAAATAGATCACATCAATTAAATCGGCACAGGATGTAAACGTAACAAAAAAGCACACAGAGATCAAAGCTTGCTTTAAATAACAGACAGACGACTGACAAACCAAAGTGCAAGGCAAAGTCTGTAAATCGGATATCTTTGAGGCACATGGACTGAAAAACAAACTCTTTAGAGACAGCTCTCTGCCTGAGCTGCATTTCAAAATATTCGCAAAAACATCAGAATTTTTTTTTTTTTTTTTCCAAAAAGTTGGATCTGTAAGTGGGAGGTGGGAAACCCACGCTGTATAATGGCTGCTGGACTTCTATGGTCCTCCAGTATCCCAGCATTCCTGACATCAACACAATTCATCAGTTGTGTCTGGGTCTTCCTTTTTTTATCCGTGCAGCCTTGGGTTTGGGTATATACTGATTGTTGGCTTGATGCTCTAGCTCTCTGCTGAAGTACTGGATGGTTTTGTTCAAGCCTTCCTCCAGTGGCACCTGCAAACACATAAAGACCATGTGATATTTCAGTTTTTCTTTTTTAATAAATCTGCAAAAATGTCAACAATTCTGTGTTTTTCTGTCAATATGGGGTGCTGTGTGTACATTAATGAGGAAAAAAAATAACTTAAATGATTTTAGCAAATGGCTGCAATATAACAAAGAGTGAAAAATTTAAGGGGGTCTGAATACTTTCCGTACCCACTGTACATGCACACAAGATTTTTTTTAACAGGTTTTGAATAGATAAAATGGCCCTAATATTCATGATGATCAGTTCATAACTCACCACAGGTTCCCAGCCCAGAAGCATTTTGGCCTTGCGGATGTCTGGCCGTCTTCTCTGTGGATCATCTTGTGCTTCTGGAAGGAATTGAATATGACTGCGGCTCACTGAGGAGACAATCAGCGGTGTGCTGTTAGTTTAATCAGATTCTTAAACCCCATTTGCGATTTTATAGAATTTCTACTTACCAACTAGACTCTTAATAAGCTGTGCAAACTCCAGTATGGTGTGTTCCTCTGGATTTCCCTAGACGCGAGAAAAGAAGGGAAGATAGATCAATAGGTTTAGGTTGGAGAGGGTCTTAATATCTCCTTCACATTGAATTGAATCAGACTGAAGGCCAAGCAATTCAGCTGTGAGACAACGTGCCTGGTGGACAATACTATCAGCTCAAATGTAATATAAAGGCAGAATTATTGTGTCAAATGAGCTAAAAAAAATAGCTCTGAAAAGTGGAAATAATGTGGCAGGCAATAGACTGTGGTCTTTTTTAAATGTATAATATTTGTTCAGTCCACATAGCACACATTTACTTGTTTAAACACTTGTTGTGACCCTGGAGCACAAAAGCAGTCGCTGGAGTATATTTGTAGCAATTGCCAAAATACATTGTATGGGTCAAAATTATTGATTTTTCATTAGGACATTAAGTAAAGATCATGTTCCATGAAGATATTTTGTAAATTTCCTACTGTAAATATATCAAAACATAATTTTTGATTAGTAATATGCATTGCTAAGAATTTCATTTGGACAACTTTAAAGGGGTCATATGATGCGATTTCAATTTTTCCTTTCTCTTTGGAGTGTTACAAGCTCTTGGTGCATAAAGAAGATCTGTAAAGTTGCAAAGACTAACGTCTCAAATCCAAAGAGAAATTCTTTATAAAAGTTAAAAGTCAGCCACACCTACCTAAAACGGCTCGTTCTAACACGCCTCCACATGTCTACGTCACGATGTGGGCCCAAATGTTCACGCAAAGAAAGGCGGCGTAACTTTTATTCTCACTGTAGTATTGTTGTTGCCACCGCCGCCATGTCGTGAAGGCGCTGTGTGTTTCCTTGTGAAAGCGAAACTACTTTGTTTGGCCTTCCAAAAGAGGACGATATCCGCTTCGTCATGCCTGGAGCTGATCCATGCTGGTCACTGAGTAAATACATCAACTTTGCGCTGTGGATCGCTGGATCGGCTTTCAC